AGAATTATGACCCAGCGAACGATCCGTGGAACAACTACGGCGCCGACTAGCAGCCATAGTGAGAGCTCACTCTGACCACACATCCACTTCCGAGGACTGCCAGTTTCGCAGAGAATTTTGAATATCACTGACCCTCACTATTTGTGGTCTACTGCTCCTCCATCAATACCGGCTGTTTCACCTGCACCACGAGAAAACACTCCGCCGCATAGCCAGACACGGTCGCTTTATGTTATGTTATGTTTTCAGTCCTACTTCGAAAATGGACACTTACTCTCTACCACTTCACATTTCGGCTGTTTTCAATCTTCGTTTCAGTCCTGTGGATGCCATCTTTGGGACCTTTCTCCCTGTACAGCTTTTTGCTGAATTTTGTACGCATCGCAAGCTTCTTTGGTTCTTTACTTCAGCTTTCTTGCTCAAACTGACTGCTGCCCGCTATCATCTTCGTCCTCCACCGGTGCTCATCATGGATGCCCAGTGGCAGCAATATTATTGGAATCATTACTTGCTGCATCAGCAACAGCTCGCTTCGAACGCAGACACCGCCCACTACACACCGACAACCGCCTATGGCCCCATGGGCCACTCTATTCGCATGCACCAACAGCATCAGGCTCACCCTTACACGCCATCGCCCTCGACATCACCCCCGTCTCACACACCACCATCACACACACCGCCGGCAACCACCTCTTCAGTCTTTCCACCCCCGCCGCCACCACCACTGCCAACGGCATCACCCACTACACCACAACCGAAATCCTTCCAGCACAGTCCCACCCACTCGGCTCCACCAGCACCTCCTGCAACAGTTCCATTCCCAACTCCAACCATCCAAGAATCCTGGCGCTCCACCGACTCCTGCTGGGACGCCAACGCCGTCCACGGCCATCAACTCCACCGTCACATCCAACCCACACAGTGGTCTCGACGGGTGGGGATCGCAGGCTTGCCGACTTTTGAGGTGTTCCCTTGGTTACTGGCGTACCATGGGACCGCGGACTTCACTGCCAGGACACTCAGTCACGGCAAGTTTTGCGGGCTCATTCCTACAAGGAGTGTTGCCGAGTCAGTTTTCACTACCCATCTCCTTCAGGAGATTCGCGATAAGCGTCTGGACTTGGACGCTATCGCCGAGGCCATCCACACCAAAGCCGGCACCACTGTCCCCAACAAAACTACACAAGCACGCGCATTCCACTCTCCTCTCATCACATTGCTAACCGACCAACTACAAGCCCACTCCCCCGCCGTTGCCGAAGGCTCCGCCATCCGAGCGCTCAAGGCCACCTCTGATGATCTTGCCCGAGCACGAGAGAAACTCCAGGCACATGGACTGGAGCTCACGCCCAAGAAGGACACGAGCCGTCCCAGCGCTCCCTCCAACCCCGCACCCCCTCCCCCACCACCAACCACCGGCACTCCCGGACGTGCTTCAACCGTCCTACCCCACCCTCAAGGACGACGCCCCAGAAGCATGGACCGCACCATCCATCCAACAATGGATGAAGTCCTTCGAGCCTAAAGTCTCCAAGAAGCGGCTCAGGAAATCTTGCGTTTACTCCAGACCAGCAAAGTTTCTACAGACCAGCTTAAAGAAGCCGCGACCCGATACGGCCTCCCCTTGATTCGAGTGAACAAACTCTCGATCAAGAGCCTCCAACACATTGTGAGCGTGGGGGCTGCCATCGCGTGCTGACTAGCCCTGAACAGCCAAAGCCAGCCGCATACAACCACACTCCACCAACTCTTCCGTCTCCACCAAGCACTCTCTACTCTCGTCCACTTCAGCCAATACATCGAGCGTGCAGAGGCCCTCTTTGCTGTGGGCCTCATACACATCACACTTCTCTTTTGCTACCCCTCATCCACCCAACGCTCCCAGCAATGGCGCCAACGACTTCAACACCTCCACATCCAACCTCACACTTATCATATCATTACCACAATTTTCTCTCCTCCAACGCAGTCTATGTCAAACTCCACTTCAACACTACCACCCCCCAACGATGCTACCACCAACATGGCCACTTCTACATCGGCTCCACTGGCATCGGCATCCCGCACAGGGAACACAACCGTCGTGCAAAACTCAAACAATTGCAAAACAACATCCCCATTTCAGCGGAGCTCTCCCTACGCTACTGGCAGTCTCACAACAACATCCACCACTTCACACCCATTCAACTTTCCTCACGTGACACTTACGACCAGGCCTGGATCCAAGAACATTACCTCATTTCCAACTGGATGCCGCCACTCAACTGGCCTTTCATATCCCACCACCTCAAGCTCAAAGCTCAAGGTTGGCAGTTCACCAAGCACCGTGCTCACTTTTACTCCCGTATGGCCACCCACAAGCGACTTTTCCGGAAGCTCCGCAGACGGCAACATGCCATCCACGAACCACATCTCTTCACCTCCACTCGACTGCACTCTCTCACACTCCTCCGCAATCTCACCAAACACACCCGGGCATCTTTTGAAGCAGCCAAGCAACTGCGCAGCGGCAAACACACTGACCTGGAGGTCTACGCCATCCGAAGAATGGCATCCAACTTGGAGGAACCTGGCCGGAGTAGAGCACTCCATATCATCAATCAAGCCCTCAAGTACCGCAACCTCAGTCCACCCAAGCCAAAAATCCCCCTCACCATACCTTTCCTAGCTCACGATCAGTTTCCCAGACACTGCGAGCAGTGGCTCAAAACCACAATCCAGCAACACAAACACCTGGCCACCTCCCTACTCACCGTCTGCGGGAAGCGGCCCACAAGACTCTCCGGGCCCATTTGCACAATCACCGCACCTGGGAAGACAACCCTCCGGCCTCCACTGATTTGCCATGCGCTTGCGATCACCTGCAAACCATTCTACTTGATCCCACTACACCCACAATCGACAACCATTACATCCTCACTCTTGAACAACTTGCACTACCACAACACCTCCGCATCTTCTTGGCAGCCAATATGAACAGCACTTTTTACCCCAGCAAAGCCAGATATTTCCTCACCTTCCAAACAGCTTTCACCAAATGGCTGCGTATTCAAGGCCTACCACCCTCACTCACACAACACTTGGAGCCATTCCTCCAGCACCAATGGAAGCTCCACACTGACCATTTGAAACAACAACCCCGCTTCACAGCCCGCCTTCTCCGGCAACTCCAGTCATTTCTGGGCGACCAAGTCGTCCTCCACCATGCTGACCACGAACTACAACAGCTACGCATTTTCTGTCCCCGCCAATACTTCGCCGGGGCGCTCGCCACTTGGCAGTCACCAGAACTCTTTGCACCTATGCAAACACTCCAACCGTCCAACATCCACGAATACCTGACACATACCATCCCCCCCAGCCTTCGCACACGTTACAAATGGGGCTTCAGGAAAGATTTTACGATCCCATACGGCATCGTTCACCTCAAGGAGAAGAAACAGTGGAGGAAAGGCCGCACCATCATCTCGTACTTTCAGTCCCTCAGTGGCAATCTTCTCCGCACCACCAGCCGAGCCCTAGACATTATCCTGCAACACCTCCTCCCCCAGCATCCAGGTCAACTATCAATTCCACAATTGTGGTCCCACTTTCACTGCTACCTCACTGACACACCACCCGACATCCCCCTCCATGCCACCAATGACGATCTTGTTGGCTTCTTCAACTCAGTTCCACAGCACCGCCTCATCGACGCCGTTCACTCCCTTGTTCAGCAATGGCAACGCCTGAACGACACCCATACTCTGACCGTTGATACTCGAGCCACTGGCAACCCTTTCCATCATTCCCACATTGGCAGGCACCACCGACGCCACCCTACACAGCGTACCATCCACACCGCAGACATCACGACCATTGTGGCCTACGCACTTGACACCTGCATTTTCCGGGCATGCAACAACACTTACAAGCAAATCCGGGGGGCTGGGATTGGCTCCCAGCTCTCCCCTGCCCTTTGCAACGTAGCCATCACCCTCATTGAGCATTCCTGGCACCAACTCCACAACAATCTCCTTCAACACACTGCCCTCCACTTCACTTACTACCGCTATGTCGACAACCGTTTCATCGTCCACAATGAACACTTCCTGTCACATCACGCCATCCAGACCCTCATCCACAACAACTTTTTCGGCGATCCCGTCGAATTGGAGACGGTAGAAGACTTCCACCTCCTCGGTTTCAACAGTGACCTCCAGCAACGTACCATCACCTACATACAACCCACCCAACCCTGGAAAATCAGGGACCACACCAGCGCCGGTAGCCAGCGCTTGGCTCTGTCCGGCTTAGCTTCAAGACTTCACTCCATCTACACCTACACTTTTCCACCTCACAATGCCACCGCTGCGGCTGAAGCTTTGGTCAACCTCTACGCCCAAAAAGGGCATAACCTGCAAGCGTGCAGGCGGTTTTTGAGAAGAAAAAGACCCGCGTTTTCCACCGCTCGCTCTGTGCGCCGATTACGGCGTTTTGTGTGTGTCACACCCTGGCTCTTAAGGGTTTCCACCTGTTTTACTTTTCCACCACCACCTAGATTTTCTATCCAAGGCAGGGGGCTCACGGGTCTGTTCCTGGCGTGAGCCAACGAAGCTCCAGGTTCAGACTAGGATATCGAAAGAGGACGCTCTTTCGACGTACCTGCAACCTGAACTTTTGACCACGCTGTCTAATTTGCTTTGTTTGATTCCATGGTTCTTCATGCTACCTACCCCAAAAAACAGGTTTCCCGCCGCTGTGCAGCCGCTTCACCTCGCACTTGCTGTGAAACATTGATTAAACAATACTGTTTTGCGGACTTATGCGCCTTTCCGTTCCCTCACCTTCCTTCCCATCGTGGCAATTGAGTTAACTGAAAACCCAAGTTCGAAGTGTGGCCCCCCAGCACTCTACACACGCTCTCTCTCTCTCTCTCACTCACTCACTCACTCTTGTTCTCTTTCTCCAGAAGAACAAACGCAAACAAATAGTGCATCCACTGGCGATCACGTGACAGCCGCTGAGCGCGTTGAATGCGTCGCTCATATCAGCGCTCGGCTGCCCAAGAAGCTCAATTTGATATCCAAGAACCTGGGTAGCAAACGGCTATGAGTCCTGGTGGGGGTCGGTAGCAACGGCTTTCATGTGGCCTCTGAGCAGGTTTCTTCTCGTGCGCGGACTCCTGAAGTCCCATTCTCTGGAAGTTCTTAACTCGACTTTAAGATCACCTTAGGCCTTTCGGACTGAACCACTTCCAGAAAATCACCACCCAAAGGGCACCTTCGCCGCTCTGCAAACATCTGCAGACGTTGTTTCTTTTCAAACATGCGATTTCCATCTTTGCAGCTTCGTTCTGGGTACCAGCAGAACCTGATATGACCACGTCCGGCTACCCCACTCGAGTGTGGGGTGAAGTTCGCTCCTACACAAACCACGGGAACCACTGCCCGAAGAAAGAGCCACTGAGTCGCTGAAACGGCAGGCTTGGACCTTGCTGTTCTTGGGGGTTTTCCTGCAAAACATGGTAGTTTGGACATGTGAAACATCAGGCCCTGGACCATCCAAGTTGGTTGGTTGCTCCTTCAAGAGTGCCCTTGGAGAAATGAAATCTCTGCGAGCTTCCCAGCGAACACCGAGCAAAGAGCTCCCAGACTTTTATACCCTTCCCCACAAACATGGTGTTCCAGCAAGGACAGAAACATCTTCCGTCTTTGCTTGGACAACTGAAGAACTTAAGAACACATTTTCCCCTGCACATGTTTTCGGTCTTTGCACAACAAATATTGGTTTTACTATGTTAACCCTCTGTTTGTAAGTCAACAGCACACAAAAAGAAAAGCTCAACAACATCCGTTAGCCAGTGGTGTCTTGGGGAAAACAAACAAAACATGATGCGCAGGATGCCTCTGCTGCGCTGTTCCCGTTTGAGGAACATCCTGAGCGAGAATGATGAATATGGCCGTAGCAGGATCCAACTCACCTTGGAGCGACCCGTCATCAGAGTGACACGGCGATCCGTGACGACAAAGAGTTTATATGGGCGTTAACGAAAAAAAACGACACAAATAAGAAACAAATGTTTGGTGGTGTAGGTTTCGACTCAAAGGTTAGTGAGTGGGTTGGGTTCAATCATCTCAAGCAAAGGTTGAGCATAAACAAATGAGGAACCACCACCTAGAAAAAAACCGATCTTCGACGTTCCACAGAATTTGCCTGCAAGAAAAAGTGCCATACTGGACTCCTAAACTAAAAAACGATATTTTGCAAGTTGCAGCGCATCCAAGAGTGACACCTTCATCAATTGGAATGCCAAAAGTTGAACTGGAGAGTGTGCTGTGTATACGCTTTTATCAATTCTGCACCCGTATTGTGTCCTGTTGCACCAGGTGCAGGTCAAGATCCCCAAAGAGCACAACAAAGTGACATAATATGTCATCTCTTGTTTGTTTGATCATTTATTGGCATGACAGTTCCAAAAAAGCATGTGTTCTTTTTTTTTAACCACTATAGCACGTTCTTGGCATACAAAGCTTGCCCCAGCTACGCCTTTCGAGCTCATGAAAGCTCCGTTTCAGCTCCGAAAGCCGCGGCCCCGAAACGCGGCCCCGTTTCGGCGTCAGCTTCCCCCGTTCCAAAGGAATGGATTGTATCAGCCTCTGGCCAGGGGCCCCCGGGCCATGGGGTGTATAAAACTATAGCTGGATATCTCTATATCCAGGCATATCCATGAACCACACCAAAGAGGGGGCCCTGGTAGTAGCAAATATTCCAACGAGCCCAATCTTTATCATTCATCATGAAGGCAAAGGATGCATAAACTATACCCTTGGATGTGACAGGGGCACCCGGTTTCTTGTACCCTTCGGCACCCCCGGGAAACACCCAACAACGCCGGAACTCGCGTGAACTGCTGCCGAAACACCGGTTTCTGCATGCGGATTCCAGACACCCAAGGGGAACTGCGTGGTCAGGCCGTGCAAATACTTCAACTGCCTTAGACGCGCGTAGGACCCGCCACGGACGGACAGACGCGCAGAGGGACTGGGAGGGAGTCCCAGTCCAACGGACGTCCCAAGACCCACCGTCTGATGCACAAAAGTGATCTGTCCGAGTACGGCTGTCCGAGTTATGACCGAGTTCTGATCGACACTACAAGGTGAATCAAGGAAGTTCACGCACTACTACACTACAGGAAAAACACATGTTTGTCGCCCTCTATAGACCTTTTTGTGTATACAGTATCTATATAGGCGAAATAACCATACAGTACCATGTATATATATACTGTATATTAAACAAAACTAAATGCAAAAGTCCAGCACCCTCAAAGTGGCTATCATTGAGATCCCATTGATGAAATCACAAAGTCTTTTGGCCTGCCAAGTCTGTCAAAGGTCGAGACTCCAAAGAGGTCAACTCCAGTCGTCCTGATCCACATCTTGGTTCCTGTTTGCTCTTTGTGAATCAACTCAAAAGAGGTCCCGAGTCCTGAAAGCTTGCGAGTCGACCATCGAAAGAGGTCCCTGTTGCCGGGGGGTTCTTTGGCCCGACGACTGCTTGAATGAAGCTGAGTAGCACCTTGGATCTTCTGGAACAGTCAATCCAGTTGCAGTACTAAAAAGCTACCAGCAGTCCAAGCTACAAACTGCTGCATGCCTGTGGACCTGGGAGTTTCACACATCCTGACACCCTCCAACCTACGTCATGCCCTCTGCAGTCGCCATTCATTAGGTCCGCCCCTCGTTGCGTGCGCGCTTTCCTCGCTAACTGAGTCTCCAATGGCTGGCGTTTGGCAAGCACGCAGAGAATCGAGCAGGCACCACGTCAGAGCTAGCAGAGCCACCAGATTCACCAGAGCCACCAGATTCACCAGTTTCATTCTGCGCAGAAGAGAAGGCCTCGACGCGTGTGACGAATCAAGGCCGTGCAGGGCGACCGAGATTGGGTGTCCGTGCCAGCACCAGCACTCCCTACAACCGAACCACCACTGTGTTTCAAAGCCTTTGCCGAACAACTAATGCTTTACTTACGTAAGGGTTTTACACTACAAAACCTGTTCAACCATTTTAGAAATGGTCTTGGACTTCCAGGATTGTGTCAGCTAATCACCTATTGCGGAGGTATGGACCTGGCTAACCCTGATCAAGAAGTATGTCTCACACGCGAAGTCGGAGAATTCAGTCGATTGTGGTCTCAAGGTCGTCGGTACTACACCCAGGCATTATGAAATGAGAGGAATGCCTGTAGTTCATCACACAGTCGTGGCTTTCAGGCACATGTTATCCTAGTTCTCTGGTCAAAAGGACAATATCGACATGTATCCACTCCAATCTGTTCGATCTCGTACTCAGGGCTCCAACATGCTCCTGGCCTACCTCCGTTTCGGGCATGGTTATGATGGGTGCCAGGGGGTCTGCGCCCACCTAAGGATATGGGTTTGCACCTTTTCTCATCGAAACGAATGCGCGCAAACCAACATGGGCTAAGGCTTGGCGAAGCACGCCAACCCCACGCCTAGACGTCTGGGACTGGAATCTAGTTATGCCGCCCCACAACAACCCCAGAGACAAAAACCACCCCCTGATGGTAAAAACGAGTAAATTACTGACTATATGAGTATAATTTCCCTGAACAATAATACAATGGAAGTGGAGGACCTTTTGCCGCTAACACTCCACTCCACGAAATCATGGTTTCAGGCAGTGTAAATATCCACGAATCTGCTAACATGCCCACGTGTTTGCCAAGGCAACAAAAACAGGAAGGCAACATCTAAGGGAGTGCAAAGGATATATCTTTCTCAAATCATCTATCAGACTATACCTCCATCAAAGATATTATCGAGTCAAGATATATCGAAACTAACAACGTCATTAATCAAAATCAGGTATCGTGTTTGTTCCCGACCCTATCGTTCTTGAGGTTGTCCTTGCTCCCAAAACTAGCATGTTCAAAAATGATGTCCAGCCGTCCAGCCTCCTTTGAGCTACATAAGGACAGGTTTTGATAGGCGCGCGCACGACCCTGAGAACGCCAAAGAGTAATCAAAAAATGGTCCCGCGTCTTGAAGTGCTCCATATTCATGAATCCTCAAGAAAGATTTGTTGGGCACAAATCGGCTCACTACATTGGGGTGCCGATTGCTGTAAACCAGGGCTTGATGGTGGCTCATCTGTTTTGCAAAAAAGCCATAAGATTCTTGTGCATCTTGTGGCATCGTCAACGATCAACGGTTAGCTACATCCCACTTCCTTTGCTCTGGATCATGACAACAAAAACACATCCATCCAGGATCAACTACCGCAGTTCACCTACATCTTCGTCGAGCTTTGCGTGAAAACCCGCGACCCCAAGGACCACTGTATCGGCCAAAGCACGAGGCAGTACCAAAGAACGAGCTTCCACATGGTGGAGGAAGAAGGTTGTCTTGAGAACAAAGGAGATACGGCTCAAGATTGATTATCTGAAATAAAAAAGGTACTGCTAGTGGAACCCATCATTGGCTTCCGCATTGCATGCACATGTTGCAGCAACAAGCCAAATGACTCCAAATGTGGTTATGTAATAACCTATATTGGAAGCTACCAGAACAAACTCCTTGTTGACACTTTCTGGCCTGATGTTGGATGGTTTACTGTACATCCAAATACTTTGAAGTTCTCTTGGGTGGAGCTAGGGACAATCGAGCTTGAATCCGAAGGTCGAAACACCGGACTGCTGCGCATTCCTTCTGCTGCTGTCGTCCCATGTCTTCTGCTGTCGTCACCGGTGAAACACTGCGAGGCTGAAGAGCCGAACGGAGGACCGAACGGCCGATGGTATGGACGCCCCGTCGTGATATGGTGGGCTGTATGTCCCTCATGTGGAGTATGCGTCAGTCCTTCCAGGTTAGTATAGCATAAAGAATGGAATAGCTGTTCAGGAACCGGGGAATACAACAACATCTTGGCCCAGAAGTGGATTCAGGGAAAATCAAGAGTCACAGTGACTCGATACTCGATACAAGCTTTTTTTTCTGAGCAAAACCAGGACGTCCGGACCATATCAAGACCTATATCAACCAAAGTCAAACATGACATGACTGGGTCTAAGAGGCCTGACCAGGCATGAGCCAATGCACCTTTAACGGTCGACAGGACATCCTGTAGAAGAAGAGATGCATTTGTTCTTCAAACTCATCACTCATGACTCTTGTGACAGTTTACTTGACTCTCCTTATTTTTAGCTTCCACAATGTCCAAAAAACGACGTCTGGAATGTAAAAAACAAAACCTCCGCGGGTTGTGGTAGGTTCAGCCAACAGGTCTCACGAATATGGTTCAACCACAACCTCCGCCGAAGGTGGGGCCCTCGCGCGAGCAAGTTCGCGCAGCTCCTGCTGATGAGCAGCTCATGAAAACCACCAGCAGTCACAAAGGGTGCTTAATTAATGGAGGTTAGGGGGACTAAACACCGCCCCTTTGTGACTGCTGGCATGTTTTTTCCCCAGGTTTCACACGCAGGCGCCGCGACCCTCGGTTCAAAGCTCAAAGAATCACATCGCAACGAAACCGAACCAAAACACGAACCGACACGGGATCCGTGACCGTACGACTGGACCCGACCCTGGACCACCTACAGATCTCAGTGTCGAACACATCACCAGACCCAAAACAGGGGTGCCAGTGGATGCCCCACCCGAGAAGTCCGACCACCCGAGTCACTCGTCGTCCCATCCGGGCTCGATCGTTCCCGCGCAGACGCACCAAAGCACCGCTCGAACGGGAAGCCGCAGATCCCCTAGGGCTCCTGGCCCACCTCCTGAGGTTTGGTGGTTGGGGTGGGTGCCAGGGGGGGTCTAACCACCGAACCTGAGGATATGGGCCAGGAGCCTTAGGGATCTCTTTTTTTCAAAAGCCCCGTCGCCCCCCCCAGTCGGGTCACCGCACCACTCGAAGCTGTCTTTGGCCCGTGTTTCTTCGGGCACCCCGAGGTTTTCATCGAGTCCGGCAGGCAGGTGAGCAGGCGACTGCCAACAAGGAACGGCTTCCCAGTGGAAACTGCGAGCAAAATGAGAAGAACCGATACAATTAAAGAAGTGTTTGTTTTCGTGTTTTTTCCTGAGCCAAATCAAGGTTGAAAAAAACACATGGCATTCGACACCTTTGCAGGGGTCGCGCCCCAAATGCTGCGGGAAGGGGGGTGCAAACTCAGGCTGGGGTGCCAATCATCAAACTGGGTTCCTCTTTCAGGGGCTTGAAGCTGTTGGAAGGTCCAGACACACCTTAAGACTACCCCAAACATCAAACAATCGCTTCACAAACGAACCTGTTCAAACATCTCAAACGGCTGACCGCCTCCCAACGGATCTTCAGCGTGCGAGATCGGATGCCAAAAGAAGAAACACAGGGCTGCGGTACCAGGCCCTGCGACCTCTACCAACCCATGTGACACAACCGGAGTAGGCATGTTGGTCTAAGATGATTGCTGAAAAAAATACATATTCCGCAATTCCGCAATCGAAGTTTACGTTTCTTGCCCCCTGAGAAGACGATCCTTCCGCATACCAAACAGGGGGTAGAGGAGTGGACAGCAGGGAGAGTAGCCAGTGTGTGTTTAGGAGTTCATCTTTCGAGCCCACAGAAACTCTTTGGATCTCTTGGGAAGTTCCCCAACTTGACCACCCGAGCGCACGGCCGCCTTGGCCGCGCCAACCTGAGGGCGTCAGCGGTCGTGCCAACATGCACATCTTTAAGGGTCCAAAGTCGGATGGTTGTTGATCTATGTCGATCTATTGGCTGCAATCCCCTCCGCACCTCATGCCCACCGGTCCCCAAAAGTCAAAATATGACACGTCCTGCGCGCGAAGTCTGTCTCGGCGCGAAGGATGGAAGTCTTTCTGCCAGGTCTTTGGGAGCTCTGCATGGAGTTTGTGGATCCCAATCAGTTCTTCCAATCTCGCAGAAGTGCTTGAAGTGCTTCGAAACTTCACTGATGTTCACTTTCCACTTTTCGGCCGCAGTAGGATTGGCACACCTCCGCGATGGAATTGGGCGGTCCAAACATCGTCTTGTGCTTTGGCTGTCGAATGCCTTTTTAAACAATATAGTCATAGTGAACTTGATATAACAATTATCTCAATAGCCATGCAATAATGATCACTTGTCAAGTAGATTATGTCCGTTCGTTTGCTTTGTGGCCAAATTAAGGGGGCTATCTCCTCCTTTGACGGTGCTGGGCTAGGGCTTTTCCACAAAGACCAGGCATCCGATCACAGAAGTTCTGGCACGTTCTCCCTAACTCTCGTCGTGGCCTTTTGTAGGCCGGTCCATGCATCGTGTGCGGGCGAACGAATGTGCAGGGTCTTGACCAGATCAGCTCAAATGAAACACTCCTTTGGCCGGAAATCTCTGGAAAATATAGATGCAATGAGCTCTGGGTCATGGTAGGAGAGAAGAAACGGGTTGACGACCTGGAAGGTCTGGAACCAGGGCTACAGGTTTTGTGTTCACCTATCAAAGCATGTGCTCACCCATCTTCATAGAAGTGCCTACTCAGCAGAAGTTGCCCAACTCATCTACCTGACCCTCAAAGAGGATGGGTTTGTCATTGCTTGTCTATCATATGCTGCGCGACAACCCACTCACCATGGCCTGCTGTCCCGCAATCTAAGTTGCACCCGACAGTGGTGTGTGTGTGTGTGTGTTCTGTCCCCGCATCCTGGCATCCCCCAAAAGTACAGTCTATCACTCATCAGTCCCACTTCAGTCAGAAGGTTCTGCAGCCCACCCAATAAGTTGTATCCTGGTCAAACGGCCAGTTCTGATTAAAGAGTCTGCACCTTTTTGTGGTCCCAAAGCAGTTTGGAGGACCTACTTAGGATTGGGGTTCAGGTCTTCAGCCGAAAGATGGGTATGTCACTATGTCTCCTTTTGCCTGGGCACCCCAATCAGTGGAGTCTAGTCCGGTCGCTGAACTGCCACGTCCAGGTGATGTTCTACCTAAATGGCGGTCCGAAACTTTCTCGGTCTGGTTGTGTCCACGATCTCGTTGTACACCTTGAAATCCGCGTCATTCAGATACTTCTGAATTTCCAGAGTCCGAAAAAACAGAAATGGTTGTCAAGGAACCATCAGGCAAGTCGGCTTGGAGTTGTACGCGCCAAATCAAATTCAAATTCTATTCGTTGTGCTCCGTTGCCTTAAATGATGAAATATGGATGAAATCGCAAAACAATTCTGGAAACACTGCGACCATGCCGTTGAAAGAACAGATTCTTGATCTCATGACAGCTGTCATGTTCTTCCTGTCAGTGTGTACAACAACGTAGATCTTCAAATAATTTCCGCGGTCGGGTGCCGAATTTGGAATCGTCCCCGGAGATTGCGTACTTCGTTCTTCTCGACATGGATGTGACGAGCTGTCGGTGACGCAGAGCTGCTTTTTGATGTCCGATGGTTTTCCGGGCTGTTCCTGCCAGAAGGGGACTCGCCCAGTTCTCCCAACATCGCCCCCAAAAGACACCCTTCTGTGCGTAAGTGATTTCTTCGGACGTCGGTTTCCAAGATGTTCCAGCCTTGATTTAGTGAGGTCTGAGGTCGGGTGAGTCTTTTGTTGGTTGGCCGCACGGCAGGACGACCTTGGTACCGCCCGAAGAGAAACCATCCCAACAGCAGAACATTTAAAGACCACTGGCCCCAAAGTCTCCCCAAAGCCCACTGCAGGAGCACTCTTGGGAATCACTGGCCCGATTCAAACGGGTACCAAACGGGTTGGTGCAGTTTGAGCCGACGCTGATCCAGCGAACGGTCCCTTCTTCTTTTGAACATCCTCCGGATTTGACGCAAGGTCCGGATTTGGGCCATGGCCGACATGTGTGGTAGCTTCTAACATGCAGGGTGTTTTCAGGTCGTGGCTTTTCGTTGCCATTCGCTGAGGTGTTCGGGGTTGAACATGTGCAGCCCATCATATGGAAGCAAAAAACAGAGCCGTACCAGTCTTTTCTGGCTGAGAAAGTGGTGAAATAGGGGCCATATTAAGTCAGTCACCAGGCTCAGGTGGTCTCCTGAACTGGTGTCAACTTGGGGTGGGAGAACCGAGCGTGAGGAGTGGGTGGGTTCGGCTTCTTACGTAAGGTCATTTAGCCATGTTTAGCCTACCAGCCTATCACTTGTGACTCCAATCTGTAGTCCTCAAACCTTGAAAACGCTCCCAAAAGTGGACTGCTGCAAGATCCAACGGGCTGGGACCTCCTACTAAGTACTAATTAAGCAGGATCGCTCTTCTATCTCACTGTAATTGACAAACCAAAGGGGGAACATGCCCAGAATACTGGCTACAATATCATGTTGTTCTGCCTTGTTCATGCTGAAACCCATACCCACTCTCTGCTCGACTCGGATGAGCAAACCGTCTGAGCTTTTCTCCGTGAATCTCTGGAAATCTCCGTGGTACCTATGTCTTTTTCGAGGAGTTCGTCGTTGTCCTGCGAAGGCACGGTCTGTCGCTTCTCGCTGCGCACGTGAAGAGCAGCAGCGTCGCTTTGATGTACACATCTACCACCATGAACAAAAATGAAGAACATCCACTGTTCCTTTTCACCAGCCTCATAGAGACATCTGCAGAAACCATCACCAGTCCCTTCTGCCATCCGACGGCCTCCATGGCTGTACAAAGGTCTATGTGGCCGAAAAGCAAACACCCAATACCCCTCGGCACGTGTGGAGGGTGGTGCGTTGAAATTTCTCGGCACGTCGGGCGTCACGAATTCGGGCAAGCTGGGCCGTGTCCTAAAGTTCCACCGGGCCGGGGCAAACAACGCAAGGAGCGCAGCCGCGACCTTCTTTCGGTCGCGCCGGGTTCGGAAGGCGACAGTGGGTTGGACATCCGATCTTCTGAAGAAGGGTCTTAACTTGATAGGGGTTTAGCGTGGTTTAGTAGTCAAATTCCTTGTAAACCAAAGGGGCGGGCGACTTGACCAAGCACTGACCTGACTTTCAGGCCATTCTCCAGGAGTTTCTTCGAGTCTCACGTCAGAATCCCTCATGTTCGCTGCCCACTCTGGGAATTAAAGGTCGACTGGTTAACTGGAACACACAAAGTTGGGCACCAGATGTGCTATGGAAAATAACACATCTCAATTAACTATAGTGTATATAGTATGCCATTTAGTATGCCCTTATAACTTGTTAACATATTGATATTTGCCTTGAGATGCCCTCCAAATATACTATAGTAACTTTGTTACTCTCAAGACTTGTCTGCATTCTGTCTGCCCACCCGCACCTTCGAAATCACAGTGATGCGCATCTCGAAGGATCGAAGACAGCCGCGTGACGGCGCGAACGCGAGTGCGCGGCTGGCCGCTGCCTCTAACGTGTGGAGTTGTCGGTTGCGTCACCTGGGTCACCACCTGCCTGAGTCACCTTCACAAGGCACACACCGAAAAAGTAATGTGAGTGAGAGGCCAAAAGAAGATGTTCATCTTCGAAAGCCAAACTGATGGGGCGGCTGCGGCACAGGGTTTAGGGTGTCATCTACCTTCACCAAAGAATCCCCCAAGGAAATAGGAACAATTCCCCCGATCGATTCGGTGTTGTTCCTGTTTCATCACTGGTTCCTTTGCTACACGAAGTTCGGACGGGCTCTGACTTTCGGAGCACTTTTTCACTTCATGGCTCCGTAAGAAAAGCGCCGCAAGTTCACGGTATTAAGTTTCATCATGGGCCTTTTCAGTACCTTGCTCTTTCTTCGCCTCACTCGCGTGTCCATGCACGATCCTCCATCCATCCGTCAGACACATCACCGTCCCGCGTGTCCGGCGTAGAATCGTCGCAGGACTTCGATGTCTTCGGGTCGCGGGCGCCGGTGGCGTCGCTCCCACTCGACGCGGGTGAGGTGGCTCCCGCCGCGGGTGTCGCTCCCTCCGCAGCAGTTGCGCCGGCCTGGGACAACTGGAGCCAGCTCCAGAGCAACGACCGAGCTACCAAGGAAAGTCCCAGGAGCAATGGTGGATTTGGAGAATCCCAAATTGGGGAGACCCCGCAATTTCTTCAATGGGTGGACTACTCGTAGACCGAGCCTCGTTCACGTGTCGGCAAATGCCTCTCAAAAATCAACACCAAATTCCCACTGGTTTGAGAGCGGAAGGTTTGGGCAGCTACAATTGGCCCCCTGCAGCGAAGGCCGGGTTCAACTGGACCCCAAGTCAAGGCCCTGTCGCTCCTCATCCATCCCTGTCGCTCCTGATGCACTTCCGTTGCTTCCGTTGCTGGCCTAGTAGGTCAGGTCAGGACCTCTTCGCCGCTGTCTGTCTTGGAGTCTTGCCACATCCGCATTTCACCGAAGTGAAGGGAAAAACGGAACCTAATTAGATCATAATGGATTAATGGATAGCTCAACACGAAGGCCTTCACTCTCCCAAACATCAAGCAGGCCAGCACACCCAAACCGCGCATCCTTTCGCATGTGTACACGTCGCGTGTGGTCGCGTCGTGTCGAACGGATCGGATTGGACCGGTCATCGGACGAGGCACGGAGGTCTGAAGATCCAGGACTGCTTGGGCACAGCGGAGTAGTAAAGAACTGCAGCTGTTCCAATCTTCTGGCCTGGAGTCGTGGCTGATGCGCTTTTGAGCCCTATGTGATTGTTTTGAAGCAGCCTGACTATCCTGGAGCGAATAGAAGTAATATATGTGAAAAAAATTCTTGTGAGTCAACACAATAACCAAAGAAAACCGTCTTGAGCATCATTGTCCTAATTTTCAGTATCGTCCCTTGCTGGAACTTGTGGATAGATGTTCTGATGTTTGTCGCATTCCAGGCTGACTGATGACCCTCAACTTATTGCTTGCCACAAGAACTGCCGACTGGATGGTGTTCAGGAATGAACAAGCTGGTTAGTGTTGCGTCCATTCATTCGCTCTTAAAGAGGGTGTCCCTGGAACAAAACTGCCGAGTCAATTTGTACTCTTTCCAGGTTACTGTCATTCCTTCAGTTTCCGAATTCGTTGTCTTGCAAATGCTTGTCATTGGGAAAGCCCATATATCATATATGCATGACCCCACTCTGAGAATAAATGAACACTTCAAAACAAACCCAGCCCTTGCTACAGTTTAGTGATGAAAGCACATGAGGCATCGCTGCAGGACTCCACTTTCGACCATCCCCGGCGAGATCCGAAACAGCATGTGTTTGAATGGGTTAAACTCCCCAAGCATGCTTAACCTTGCTCCTGGACCACTGGCTAGACTCAAAGACACAGGATGAAGCTTTGTTCATGCTGTTGTCTGGGGTGTTAACTTCCAGGGCAACCAGCACTGAGTTCTCCCTCGTGTGTCTTGCGGTTGTCCAGCCGTTTCAGCGACATCATCCAATCTGTATTGAGCTCAGCAAAACGCAAGGGAACATCAGAGTAGAGACAACGTCCTTTTTGAGACCAAAGCATCTCCAGCACATCATCGAAATTAAGCTCAAATTCGCCATCCCATCTGCCAAACTTGTGTCTGCCGCGAGCACTTGCAAGTAGACTCATTATGTGTCCGCGCAATCTCATTCTTCGTGCCAATTCGTAGGCGCTCGTACAAGACTTGCAATGTGGCTGGAATCCACGTGTCGTTGCTGTGTGCAATGAATAATTCCAGGTAGGTTGCCAAAGCCCACAACATGAACATTTAAGGTGTCCATGGCCCTTCTCCCATCCACAAGAAGGTTCTGAAATCATTCCTTTAAATGCAAGATGTTGTTTGCGCAAACGTGCCCCCCTGAATGGCTTCATCCAACTTCTTCAAGTCCACGTTCAAAGATCGCTCCATTGGTAGGCCCTGCACTTTCACCATTGACCACTTGGAAGATCCAGATGTCTTTTCTAAGGCCACTTTCTGGCTCATCTTTTCAGAAGTATTGAACTCTGCCGCAATCAAAGCACAGTTGTGTCGTTCATACCCAACATCGTTGTCCAGCCTTTCCAGTGACATCCGCCAGTCTCTCTCGGTGAATGATGAGGTCTCCACCTCCAGGAGCACCTGTACCTGCCTTTGCCTCAAGGATGTCATCGCCTGGCACACAAATGGCCGGCTCGGGTAGGAAGGCCAATCCTGCACGCAATGGATGCAGGACTCCCAATTCACCCCTTTAGCCCTCGCCTCCGCTCCCTCCAAAATGCAGACTGATGCCTTTGGCTCTAGCACCGTTGCATTCACGCATGCCGCCACGACAGCCGACATCACCGCCTCCTCGGCCTCCGAAGATTCCCTTAGGGCTCACTCACATCTGTCACGTTTTGCACACGACTTGAGCCCCAAGCTTGGAGCTTGCAGCTTGAAGCTTGGCACCTTCACACCCTCCAGCTTCATGACCACGCACTTGTGGATTTGGAAAATCCCACGGTGATGAGGCCATTTAGGACAAACACCAGCCAGTAGGTCTTGGCCGAAGCTCCTGCCCTCATAGCCTGTAGCTTCGATAGCTTCAGGAGATGCTTCACACCCGCCAACGGGATGAGAGGTATCAAAGCTTTCTTCCCGGGCACATCTGCCTTTTTGCTGAAGGATGAGGTCAAGAACGAAGTCAACGTCCAAATTATAAGCTCGACTCTTGAGATTGGCTCGTTGCCTTGCGCTACCCACAAGAACACTAGCATTCCCACGAAGAGTTCTTTTGTAAGCTGCTCTCCGCTTTCTGGAGCAACCGTTGCAATAGGAGCGCACACGGCCACCATTCTTGACATAGAAGTCCGCCACCGTTTTCTCAAGCCTACAATCACAACACCTCTAGCTGCCCGTGCCATCGCCCAACAGCCTGGAAGTTGGTAGATGTCTTTGCACATGCTGGGCTTTCCTTGGCACTCTCGCCTCTTCCACCATCCTCCGTAGCTCAGGGTCTACCGGCCACGAAGAACGCACGGCAGCCACTGCTGTGAGGCCGAAGCCAGCAGCGTGGTGACTGGAAGGTACAGCACACGGGGATCCGATAGGCCATGGTTGGGCGCACAGCTTTGCTGTTGGTCCTCGGACCCCGATTTCGACAGGCCAAACGGCGAATGGTAAAGGAATCAGTCCCGGGACCCGGGAAGTGTCTGGAAGAAATCCTTGAAGTCAATGGAAGTCACATATCAGGCCAATGGAATATAATAAATGAATATAACATAAGTGTATACATAGAACAAATGTGGACTATGTTATTATATGCTTGTTGATCTCACCACCCTAGCTGCTTGGGTGGCACAAACCAAAAAGAAACAACCCATTGTTCAACGGACAGATCACGTCACACCCGGAGCAACTGAACCCTGAAAAGCCACCGAGGACACCCCAGACAGTTGTTTTCGAATGTGTTCTCACATAAAACACAAGAAACAATACACATGTTTTGCAATGGAAAACTAAAGGTTCATGTTCAGAACCATGATTTACCCATAAAAACAACAAAGTATATTGCGGATGTGTATTAATTGAGAAATCCGATTTTTGTTGCAAAAAACAGTCTCTTTCAAAACCCTACTACTCTAATTACTGTTCTAAGTTTTGGATGGTTTTATATGGTTTCATGATGTTTTATGGTTTTGGATGGTGCTTGTATATTCCTCAATCGCTGAATTCGGTATTGAAGGATTTTCAGACATATCTAAGAGTATAGCACCAAGGCTGACTGGGGATTGACCCCTGTCATACCTGCGAATCTACCTTTGCCTACCCGACCACCCTGCCCGCCATGAAACGTTTGGTGTTTCATGGCGTGTTTCATGGCGTTGCCACTTGTTTCCAAAATGTCCGGTCCGGTTCTTCAAGACAGAAACAGAAACCAATGGCTCCTGGCACTGGTGTCATTTGGTGTTTGGTGTCCGGCACTGGGTCACCCACCGAAAGAAACTTCCTTCAAGACTCGTTTCCAGTCTCTTGAGACCCCCTTCGTGTTCCTCCGTCTGAGGCCGACCCTCTGATCCCTGCCACCTTGGTACCGTCCACCCCACCGTTCGGACCGGAGGGGAAAAAGAGAAACCAAAACTGAAGGCACAGCGGCACACCCTCTCTGATACCCTTTGTACCCCAAACAAAGCTACACGGACCCGGTCCACCCCACCGTTGGGCGCCTTCGGCGTGTGAGGTCGAACGTCAAGGCCTCCAGCTCCGTCAAGAAGACCTCGCAGTGCACGGCGGTTCCGGACGGGTCGCCCGACTCGGCCGGAAGTTGAAGCCATGAGCGATCTGCTTTGGAACGGGGATTTCTTGGTTGGAAGTGGAAGTGATGCTGCTGTAGTGGGTGTAGAGAGGAAACGGTTCAAAGCTGGTCAGTTATTGGCCCACTGTTTAGATCTGGTCAGTTATTGACTTGTTCACTTTCGATCCAAAAGAAACACCCGCTGTCACCGCCGGTAGATGCACAAACTGGGTGGCTCATCTGACTGCTACATGCGTTTGTCCACTGATGTTCTTGCACCTTGATTTGGGCCCGTTGAAGAACATGTGCAAATGATTTTCAACATGTGGGACATTCTGGGACGATAATGCAGCAAACAGTCATCAACCCATAGCATAGTAGGCAATACTCCTCCTCAAGGGTTGAATTCTTTAAGACAGTTCAAAAACGACAAGTCCCGGCTACCGGCCTGGAAATATAGTCCATATTATTCTACCTGTACTTGAGGACTTACATATCTCACAGCTTTCACTACGCCATTTTTTTCTGCAGGGGCCCAGAAAAACAGCCGGGCCTAGCCTTCAAGGTCTCATCTTCCGCACTGGAAGGGCCCTTCAAAGCATAGCGCCTCGCGCAAGGGACTAGTGCTAGACTTTGACTGCCAAATAGACATATGCTTCCCCTAGCAAGCGGAATATGGCACGATATTTTTTCAACGATGAGTCTACCCGGCAGTTGCTTAGATCGAGAAGGACAAAAAATGTGACAAAATACATCTTCCAACGTGGAATAGCTGTTTTTTGGAGGCAGCAGAACAGCCTCCGAACATGTCCTTAGCTGGGTCATTCATGTCATTCTTTATGGCAGTCTGAGATCCACACTGTAGGGGGATTTTGTTTATTCACGGTCTACCTTCCTTTCTTCATGTCTGCTTCAGCCCTTGCCACCCTCGACACATCTAGGCTCAAAAAGCACGGACGGTCAATGCTCACACCACTGGGCTCCAGACACAAGTTGCTTCCAGGAGCAGTCTTTCCTTGGAGGTCCCAACGGCAGAAACACAGGAGAACAGGCACCTGCTCGGAGAACAGGCATGTTGCCACGATGGACGGGGCTCTTGCGAGGTCTCAATTCATCAATGTATGCCCTGGGAGTCAAAGACTATAAAGAGAAAGGTCTTTGGGGGGAGCTGAGTTCGGGAACTTCCTTTACTTCAGCCGGTCAAAATATCGTCCAACCGGACTTCAATGGGTATGAATCAACCCGTTCGTTGACAAAAGAAGGACTTTAACCATGCGTCCAACGCAAGTCGTCACCCGACGCTCGTCACCTCACGAAATCGCCCAAAGGGTCGGCTCGGGGGTTCGTGGCGAGCCGGACCGGAACCTGCATGTAAAGTTGAAGATCTTTCCACCAGGACTACAGGGGGAATTCACCCCACAAAGTGATAGACATCAATAGACATCACCACCAGGTTCTGGAGCCGTTCGTGACCTCGAACTGGAGTCTTTAGTTTGTGACCTTTTACAGGCCTTTTTGTGACCTCATCCTGAGATATTTTAAAAACAGTTAGAGTTACAGTTCACTTCAGTTCATGGATGAAAAACTGAACATGTTTGGGGACTTGGACTTGCCTGGATCCTTGTTGTCGTTCCACGAAAAACGAAGTAGCACGCAAGTCGTCCGGGGGGGTTCACCCTGCGGCTCAAAACGTTGACCCTCAGAGCCTCACACATCACATGGTTACGTGGATGGCATGGTCACTTGGAAGACTACACAGGGGGTGCCATCCAACAGGGGGTGCCATCCACGTAACCATGTGATGTCGTTCGTTGTCCGTCTGAGCGAACCGTTGTTTTATCGGTTTCTTTCGGTGGTTCGGCACTCGGCAGAGTGCCGCCATCGGCGCCGTCTCTCCCCGTCTTCTTTCGGTGTCAACGAGGGTCTCAATCTCTTGGAACTTGGACAGGAGCTCATCCCTCAGTGACGGACAGCTGCTCCCGGGCGGGAAAAACAAAAAGAACCATAACCTAACCCAGGCACGCACTCCATGGGACTGCCATTTATGCCTACAACTCCCAAAACCACCCCAATGCCCCAATGTAGGCATATATGCATACATGGAGTGTCTGGGTAACGTATTTCCCAGATTCACCCAGAAAACCGGGAAAACAGACAGCAGTCCTCGCCTGATTCGCAGAGAATTCTGGCGCTGTGCAAGTGATGTGTCAGGAAACCAAGCCACCGCAGCTAGCGGAGCTACCGAGTGTGGGAAAACTGCGGGAAATTTACTTGCAAGGAAGCTCTAGAAAACTCGAAAGAAACCTGGAAGGTATCAAACCAGTTGAAGTGCCTGCATTACATAGGTGCCCTGTCCTCAAGGTATGTCAGACATGTTAGCCTTGAGGAATTGCAGGTCATTCAATTTAACAAAATATGGAATATAGTAAATATGTTAAATATATAAAACTTGTCAAACACAGTATTGTTCCTTTACACAAGCCTACGCTAAATTCTGCTACATCATGGTGTCTTAAACAAAAAAGAAGAACAAACTCAGTATTTTCTGTGTATTCCCCATTTGGTCATCTTCAGCTCGGATTCGACCTGCTTTTTGCAGCATGCATGGATTCTCCTGCTGAAGGGAAGAATCAAACACACGAAAAACCATGTTGGCAGTCTTCAACGCATTTTTTTGTTAGGGATACGCAGATTGGCCCGCGTGAATAGAAGCTGATCCGGTGCGAAGGCCACCAACGCCACGTTTCTTCTCAACATGGAACATCGGTACATCACTCGTGTCAGAACATGAAGATTGTCAGAGGACGGCTCCATGTCCCATGTCCATCTCGTCACTCGATGGATCTGACGCCTGTGGGGACAGTACATCGATCTGTCTTGTTTCCATGCGCCTGCGATGTCACATGATCTGTCAGAAATACCTGGATCTTCCATGATCTGCCAACGAACTGTCAAACTGGGCAGGCATGAACTGGGCATGAGCAGGCACAAACTGTTCTTGCTTGAGTTGGATTCAGCACCGGGTCCTCCAACCCCTTCTACTTCGAGTCCTCACCGTTCCTTCCGCGCTCAGCCACCATTCCGAGCTCCGCCGCGTCCCACGGGAGAAGCAAAGACCTCGCGGAGCCGCGCGCGTCGCGAGGTGCTCGCGCTCGCGCTCGCTCCCCGCGGCGTCGGACGCGGGGTGACACGGGTGACACGGGTGGCCGTCGACGGCCCAAGTGGAAATCCGATCAACCTGTACCATCCTCAGACAGGGTGTCCGAGTCTGGTCCGGCTAGACAAGTGAGTTACACTAGAGAACCAAGCCGGGACTGCCATAGGACTGCCGATCAGTTGGGGTGGTTTTGGGGGTCAACGTAGGCATATATGGCAGTCCCATGGAGTGTCTGGGAAGTGTTCTCCGAAAATGGTCTTGGCCCCGATTGTCGGATGACCAGTTGAAAAAAACGAAGACGAGACCAGGATACGTACAACTATATATCCAAGGCTAAAACCGCCCAAGAAACCCTGATTCCTTACTAATTACTTGTGGTACCTCGATGTACCTGGGATACACTAGGCTAGGATTTTGGGGAAAAACCACTGAAACTGGGCAGAATGGGCGTCGTCCAAGCACACAGCCCTTCC